ATTATTTTTTTAAAAATAGTGCTCGATACAAAAGTAGAGCATAAATATAATTATTTATTTAAAGATATTATTCCAAATCGCGACATAAGAAGTCCCATGTTTCAAAACAAGAGCCGAAAACTTCAATATAATTATTTAAATTAAATTGAGTTAAAATAAGCTCTGTTCCATCTTCAAGCGAAATTTTTTTTTTTAATAACGTGTTTCTGAAATTTACGTGTTTTAAAATTGAAATCAAAATTTCCATGGTTACAGCTAGGGCGAATTGTTTAAGTTGGGTAGGCGGGTGTTGGGTGTTAATAATAAGTATCAGAATAGAGTTACTTTCGTAGATGTCAAGTCAGGGAAAGGTGGGGGTCACTAAATTTGAAACGGAAGATGTATTAACCTCGTCTAGTTTGCATGTATACTGGAGATTTATTTATTTTTTTTTTATTTTTTTTTTTAAAGGGATTTGTGCATATAAAAAAATTGTCGTGACGTTTGTTTTTGACGACTTCATAAAGGGTTATCTTTTTTTAGGGTATTTAAACTATTTATTTGGGCTATGGTTTATGAAGGATTTTAATAGATTATTATTATTTAGAAGCTTAATTATGTGCAATTTCTCATGGAGGCATAAAGGGCATGGGTCATCCCAAGTTTTACATGTTCTAGCCTTGTTTATAATTTTTCATTTAACTTTAGGTGTCCTATTTGTTTCCTTCAGATGCCAAAAATATTTAGATAGGGAAGTCTGATTGCTTTTGTTTATATTATTGAAAGAGCACTTATGCTGCCTCCATCTATCTTTATAATCATTCTTCGTGGACCCAATGTATATCATATTAGTGCTAGGGCTCTCAGTGGATGATATAGTACATTGGTATACCACAGATTTAATGCAGCATTTATTTTCTAATGGGCAGGAAAAGAAAAATCATTTGGTACACCCCTCCGTTCAACCAAATAGTATTAAACTAGGACAGAAATTCTTAGCTCTAATTGATAAACACTTCCCCACCAATAGTAAGCTTAGTAATATATTCAATAAGAACACCCTAAAATTGAGTTACAGCTGCTCTGAAAATCTTGAACGTATAATAAAAAAACACAATAATAAGATCTTGAACAAACCTCCATGCCTAAACAGTATTAATAAAACCCCTGCACTTAAAGCAGACAATAAAAGGGAAAAATTATGTAATTGTAGAAACCTAGAAGACTACCCATTAGAAGGCTAGAACATGTAAAACTTGGGATGACCCATGCCCTTTATGCCTCCATGAGAAATTGCACATAATTAAGCTTCTAAATAATAATAATCTATTAAACAATAGACACGAGTTAACGGTTTTTTGTAGGCATCATCAGATTTTTGGTTTGAATTATTAGCTAAAAACTAGCATACAATATAACAATTTGTTTAATCCATAGCCCACTCATCAGATTCATGGTTTGAATAATTAACTAAAAACATGCATACAATATAAAACCCTTCATAAACCATAGCCCAAATAAATAGTTTAAATACCCTAAAAAAAGATAACCCTTTATGAAGTCGTCAAAAAACAAACATTACGACAGTTTTTTTATATGCACAAATCCCTTTCATAAAAAAATAAAATAAAAAATAAATAAATCTCCATATACATGCAAACTAGACGAGGGTTGATACATCTTCCGTTTCAAATTTAGACACCCCCACCTTTCCCTGACTTGACATCTACGAAAGTAACTCTATTCTGATACTTATTATTAACACCCAACACCCGCCTACCCAACTTAAACAATTCGCCCTAGCTGTAACCATGGAAATTTTGATTTCAATTTTTAAAACACGTAAATTTCAGAAACACGTTATTCCAAAAAAAAAAATTCGCTTGAAGATGGAACAGAGCTTATTTTAACTCAATTTAATTTAAATAATTATATTGAAGTTTTCGGCTCTTGTTTTGAAACATGGGACTTCTTATGTCGCGATTTGGAATCATATTTTTAAATAAATAATTATATATATATATATATATATATATATATATATATATATATATATATAGAAATATAGTTTTAGAATATATATTTATATACTTTTATTGTCAAGGTTAGTTTTATGGTTAGAGTTAGTGTTGCCAGGGTTGATAAAAAATGAAACGATTTTTGTTCATAATTATAAAATTAAAAAGAAGATACACTACTATAAACCAATAAAAATCATTGAATATTAAATGATTTTCTTGGTGTTCCTTTATTTGAGTTATATACAAAAATATTATTTCGTCTAAAGAGCTATTTGAGTGTTAATGGCCCTTCTCAAAACTATAGAAAATACCAAAATATTTGTTGTTTGAGAGGATATTTATATCTTATCTAGGAATGTGATCAAATGTTTTTATACAGTTTCTATATATATATATATATATATATATATATATATATATATCTTGAATTTTTTTTCAGGTAGCATATGTTGAAATATATTTTCAATACTCAAAATCACATATCACTCAACAAAATTTTCTGATCATTTGGTAATCGACCACCCGACAGTTGAAATTGCCCACTGGTGGGCGATATCGCCCAGGTTGGGAAACACTGATCTAAACTCTACAATAAATGTCTTGCTGCCTCTTGCTTTGCAGTCTGTTAGAAATCCTCGTATGTAGTGTCTGTCTTCAAGAACTCGGATGAACAGTTTGATCCTTCGAAATATTGACCAATTAGTATTCCACCTCTCTGTGGCAAAGTACTAAAATCTCTATCAAAATCTCACTTTGCACGGTTTTCTTTCGGATAAAAAATATGGCTTTCATTTCTTCAGCTCAACCGACGATGTGTTAATGGTGATTACTGAATTTGTCTATTAGGTTTCAGATAAGAATGGCGATATTCTGGCTGTAGCTTTAGATATCTCGAAGATGTTTGCATCGTAATCTTCTTCACAAGCTGTCTCCGGCTGAAATTTTCATTTGATGCACCCTTTCTTAGATCGTGTGAGGAAAATTATTCTGAACGGCCACTCTTCTTGACCCTTTCACATTAACGCTGATGTTCCCCTGGGGTTAGATCTTTGGATCTTTCTTATCTTCATCAAAGACTTTCTCGATGCAATTAGTTTCCAACTATAAGAATCTATGTTGATGACACAACTATTTACTCCTGTCTTAAAAGTAAGTTCAGTAGGTTCGATAAAGTAAAACTGACAGATGATCTGGAAAATAACCTTCAATCTGTTGTTAACTGGGGCAAGAAATTGCTTGCGAATTTTAACACTTCCAAAATGAAACTTAGGGAACTATTTTTGCTTCCCAACAAACTGGCTGATGCAAAACTCCAGAAGAGAAACACTTCGCGCCTTCTCGGGCTCATGTTTTTAATCGACATGAAGTGGAATGATTATATTAAATTAATTGCTATATCTGTGTTATAGTGGAACACACCTATTCTATAGTTAATAGACTCTCCCACCTATAATAAGTAGTAGTAGTAATAGTCGCTAAGGGGCTCAGGGAGTTGGCCTGAGTTCAGTCTGAAGTCGGACGACCAGCTGAACAGTTGAACTCTCGGGCGGGGAGGAATCCGAACGAGGCTACGCCGAAGGGCGGAGTCTCTTTCGGGGAGGTAAACCGACCCTGAACCCGTTTATACGGGTTCAAAGGGCATATTTTTGGCCAATCCCAGGGGCTCGGAGATCCCACGTTAAACCGGCCTTGTTCCACATGATGCCCTCGTGTGTGTGTGGGGGGGGTGACTAAATACTCTCAGGGAGTTGGTCAGTCATTCGATGCCGGATGACCTTTAGCAGGATAGTAAAAGTATCAGCGACCACGACTAGATTTCTCTGCGTCATTACCTATTATATCAAGTTCCTAAAGTTTTGTACGTCGAACCTATTTTAGGACCGACTTAGTACAAATACAAGCCTCCACTGTGAAACCACTCTACAACAGTCTGCTGCTAGGAAATATAATTTTCTGTGTCGTGCCATACAACTGTTCTCGCCAGAATCCATCTTGAACATCTATGAATCTACTATTCGACCGTACATTAAATATTGCTGCCATATTAGGTCTGGTTCTCTTGCTATATATCTTAAAATTCTTGCCAATATTCAATGAAGGATTTGTAATGCTATCGGCCCTGACCGGGGATCTCGACTTCAGTCATTTTCTAACCTCGCCGTAATGTAGCTTTTCTCTGTCTTTCCTATAAATATTTTTATGGCAATTGTTCTTTGACCTCTTTTTCTTTGGTATCTAAATCTCATGAATTTACTAGATTAGCATCTACGCATCATCATTTTACTGTTCAAATAGGTAGACATAGCCATATGTTTCATTCTAATAGCTTATTCTCTCGCACTTCTCGCATGTGGAATTCTCCTCCGGATACTTGCTTTTCTGTCAACTACGATCTTCAGAAATTTAAATGCAACGTCAATCGCTATTTGTCTTTCTAGATCCTGTTCTTTTATTGTCCTTTTCTCCTCACTAAAGTTTTCTCATATGCTTTCATTCTCACCTTGCGTTTTAGTAGCATTATCGCCTTACTCGGGATGAAATGATTAAAAACAAATAACAGACATTCGAGAAAGGCCAGAGAATACAGCGGCCAAATTTTGATTATAGCAAACAATGAGGATTGATTCGTTTTCTACGGCTTATCAACAATTGCATGTTATTTAAAGCCAGAAAAAAATATTTTTTAGATTGTAAGATTTGGGGGGGGGAGATAATAATGATTTAGGAATACAAGTTTTACTAATTCAGGAAATAAGCGATTATCAACCCTTTGCCGAAACCAGAAAATATTTTTAGATGGTCAGAATTTTTGGGGAGGTAATAAGGATTTCCTTAAGTTTTATTTATTAACCGATAGCTGGAGGAGAAATGGTGGATTCATACCTTTCCCAAGGGTATTTGCGTGTAAGTGGATATAACAAACCCAACTGGAATTGGAACTCGGCTCTCCGATTAACCAATTCTGAGCCTTTATCCATTACACCACCCGCATATTCAAAGTTACAGCACCGGGTATTCTTAAGCGGTCATTCACCTAGGTACTGACCAGCCTCGACGTTGCTTAACTTCGATGATCGTACGGGAAACGGCGTTTTCAACGTGATGTCGTAACGTAATTAGAAGGGGACTACTTTGACTAAATCATGTATAATAGTGATAATTCCTTATACCCTGAATATTATACCCAATGTTTCGATCATGTAGTTGCCGGCCTTCCTCAGGTATCTGTTTTCTTCGGTTAGTTTTTAAGAACTGAACATTGTATTCAGCACAGAATTTCTTCATTTTACTCTCCATGATATTTATTAGCTAATTGTCACGATTTAATTCAAACAATGCAGGTCTTATATCCTGGTAGAATGAACATCTCAAAAGCTGAACGATGATATGAAATTAAGTAGTAGAAATTAGCTCGTATGGACAACGAACAGTATATATCCCCCTTGGATTGAATAAGAATGTTTGGATAATTATCAGATACGCCAGGAAGCTGAGAAGATAACAAAATACAATGGGTAAAACTTTAAGTAATATGACAATATGAAAACACTAGTAAATTATTAAGAAATATTGCAAATCGTTACTGATTGCGTTATCATATACTAGCAGTAGAGCCCGGCGTTGCCCAGGGATGTATCAGTAAGAGATAGATCAAGTATCGACCATCATAAAGACTGAAAAATAAAATTGACAAAGATTATTGTTTAAGGTTGACGGACACGCATGTCTTAATTAGTTTTTTTTTTTTTTTACGAATTGGTCAAACCAAACTCAAACAAAAACATTGTTTTCAATCGTTATGAGTCTACCGACTGAATAAAATTTTATTATAAACAATTGTCTTGTAAATGGAATTTTAAAGCATTCTGAATGTAAAAATAAAAGTGTGCAAGACAATAAGAAACACTACCTGCCAAAAAAAGTGAAGTTTTGTTGAAATCGGTTGAAAATGTAGGAAATCCGATCCTATATATAAACACACACACACACACACACACACACACACACACACACACACACACACACACACACACACACACAACCTGGGTTTTATAATAAGTATAACTCGATATGAGTTGTCCCCTTTCATTCTGGCGACAGAATCGTGTTTTATCGTGTTTTCAAATTGATTTTGTGCAAAAACAATTGTGTTTTTCCAATTTTTGGCGCTGTCAGAACCACCGCAAGCTAATTTTACGTAGTCCTGTGAAGTTTTGTTGAAATCGGTTGAAAAATGTGGGAAATCCGATCAATATATAAACGTACAGACACACACACAATCTGCATTTTATAATAAGTAAGATTAACCTGTCCACAAAATTATTCATCAAATTACATCTTATTTCTCTTGATAGCTTCTTATCAAGTTAAAATCTTTCGTTATATTTGTACCGAAGAAGTTTTGATAGCAAAAAAAAAAAAAAAAAATTAAATTAAATTAAATTAAAAAAATAAATAAATGACAGAAATAGATAAAAATATGACTTCAAATATTTTCTGTGAATTTCTTGGATGAGAAGTTATCATTCTTTACACTGTTTATATTCGGATTATTGTGATAACGTTGTCATACCAGCAACAAGGAGGATAGTAGTCGGAATATAAATAGCATAAATAATGACTTCAAATATATTCGGTATACAAATGTTTAAGAAATCAGAAAGACAAAAAACTGAAAAAAAATTTGATTATCAAATTTTTCTTTCAGCTCTTCGTCATTTTCCATTTTTATTATGTCTAAAGAAATTTTCAACTTCTTCTCTAAATGCTATTCCTTTGATGTCATTTTCCCCAGGTTCCTGTAACTGAACAATCTTTTTGTCGAATGAAAATATCACCATCGGGTTTTACTTTTGACATATATAGAAACACGTCTGAAATGTGTTTCAAAGCATCGTCTTCTATGTTCCGTTCATTCACAAACTGCTTGAGAAACCCAAGCTTGGTGTACCATTGAGGCATAAATACAGTCTCTGATTTTACCAAAGGTTGGTAATTCATATTCCATGTGACTGGAATAAAGTGTTGTCTTTAAAGCCAGTGTCTTTTGAAATGTTGCACCACAGGCAAAGAAAATAGGCATCTTTTTGTATAACCTTACTCATACTGGGTTGATGCATAATTATCAAGCATTTTTGTAGGCGAGTTATTTGTTAATAAAAATTGCTGCTTTGTTTACTTTTTTTAATAAAAATATTTTATTTTCAGGTTTAAAAAATGCGTGTCAATAATCATACGCTCCGGAATAAGCATTTAAATATTTTGTTGTTGAATTGTTATATTTCTTTTTTTTTTTTCATACTAAATATTCTTTAAAAAACACCTGATAATTATGCACCAACTCAATAGTTTTTTAAAAAAAGTTAATCAATTTTAAAATTGTCATCACAGACCTGCGATTTTTATATCTCTATATTTAAATAATGATGTTTCCGTGGTTTGCTTTTAGACACACACAATTTCGAAATGATCATAACAGATTCTGGTTTCCACTAAACAAAAGAAAACAGTGAAGACATTGAGAGAAATTGTCTATAAAGCGAACCATTTCGACAAAAGGTTTCACTATTTAAATCCTGATTGTAGAAATTATATATCAGATATCTCTTATCTTATCTTTTAGTCAGGATCAAAGCGTGGTATCTGTCCAGGGGATTCCAAACCAGCAGCAACGTCTTCTTCAATGCACTAAAAGAGTCGCTGTAATATCATTGCCAACGTGACAGTAGTCACGGAAACTGGGCCATTTTTGTCCTTGGATCATATGTACGCGGGCGGGCTCCCCACATAAGAAATACCTTATGTCTTATTCTACCATAGTGAGGAGGTCAGGTATATAAAATAGTTTATCCAAGATCAAGAACATAATCATCCATTTTCTGTAGTTTGGGAAAATATGATTCTTTTTTAACGTCATTATAAATAAATAAAGGTTCGCAAATAGGTTTGCAAATATTTTAGCAAGATACCATGAGCTAAATTTTTTTAATGTGTTTTTACGTTACTAACCGTCGAAAAAAGGGTGATGTGGATGTCGCAAAATGAGGGAATCTTGCGGGACGAACGCTATTCGCATCAGGATCTGGTTGTTTTCTTTAAGCATCAGCTTAAGTTAAGGATCAGATCTGATAGAAAGCGATTGATTTCGACAGATTTCAGCGAAAGGTGAGTGACTGAGGCGAGCCTGGTTTGTGTGGATGGAGCTAGCCTTGATTTTCTCGTTTAAGTACCTTTGATACAACGGGGCGGTTCCCTGTGAGCCCTGCACTGGTTAAGTTAGACAATATTATTTTTTCCTTGTTAATTTGAATAAGTCTTCTTCTCGGCTTGGTCCCAGCATTCACTTTTGTTATGACTCATGTTGATATTCCTACCCACCTAATTTGTTTTTGTCTCTCATTTTTCATCCTGACTGGGTCAGCCTTTGATTTCCCTCTTTCCGTCATTTATTTTTACCCTTCCTATTCCATTAGTGAATGTGCTTCTTGATTCTGTCTATCATCAGAATACATCGGCCACTCTTATTATTATTTTGAGGGATGGGCGGGTTCTACTAACATTGATTTGTTTTAGCTTTAGCTTTGTTTCATTTTTAGTTTGTTTTCTGCTTTCATCCTCCCACCCCGTCATTTAATAAATCATGAAATTTTCATATAAACGGATTTATGGACAATAAAATGAAATTTTTACATCATGGGATGTTTTGTAGGTCCCCTGGGAATATGTGGTATTATGCTATATGCAGGATTGAGTGGTGATAAAATGCAAACAATCTCTTAAAGAATCTATTTATTTTATTTGTCATTATTAACCCAGCAGCCATCACGGAAAAATGAGCAAACAAAATGGAGGCATAACAAAAAGCACCAGAAACATGCCGAAAGCATCGAAACATTGAAGTAGAAAAGAATTTAAGACAGTAGAAGAACATTGTACACGAGTATAGTTACAGACTGCTAATATATTTAAACTGTATTTTCATTTCCTTTTTTGATGGCGTCGAAAGTCTTGGAATTGACTGCTTAAAGAGGGAGGGCGTTCCATTTATTCATCCGCTCTACCAAAAGAATATTTTTGTATGTTCAAACAATAAGACAGCGGCTGAGTTGTCAATAAGTGTCCTTTAGTAGATTTATACTGGCTTTTAATAAAATATTTCTCGAAATCAACGTCATCAATAGAATTATCTGTTCTAATTACCTGTATTAAATCAAATCATTAAGTTTCAATTGAGAAAGGGGCTAAGAGTTTTAAGTATATCGGAGTAAGGTATATTTTTAATTTCAGAAAGCGTTTTTGTACTTTTTCTAGCTGTTACTTGATTGTTTTTACGGCTTATCAACCTTTCGTATCTTATTTAAAATCAGAATTTGTTTTTAGATTGTAAGATGTTTTGGAGATATTGATTTACTGATACAAGTCCTACTAATTAACTTGGTTGGATTCAATTGGCATAGAAATGACTGCACAAACATCCTCCTTACCAAATCTGTAAACAAATCAAACAGATGCATGCCGAGAGAATTGAAACCATAATTAGTGATGCCTTTCTTAACATGTCAATATAACTAGCAGCTGCTTGATGACCTTTTACCTCCTGTAACTCATAAGTTCCATTGTACGAAAATGAACCCCAGACCATAACTGATCCACCTCCACTGTGTCGCTTTGAGAAAATTTCTTTTGGGACATCATTTGCATGCCAGTAACGCTGAAAACCATTCGGGTCATCAAGATTGAATTTTTTTATCGTCTTAAAACAACACATTCTTCTATTTATCCACTTCCCAATCGGAAGCAAATTGTAAACTGGAGGTTTTATGGCAAAGAAGAAAGCGAGACCCCTGCAGCTGTTTCAAGTTCTTAAACACTTTCTTATTTAAATGACGTCGAATTGTTCGAGAGCTGCATTTAGCATCTGTATTCGTTTTTATCTGACTTGATGTTAGGCTTGAATCTCTCTTAACTTCTCGCCTAATGCGTCTGTCTAGAGATTTTATTGGGTGACCGGTTGATGTTTTAGAAGCATACGCAATTTTAATTAAGTTAGCAATGACAGTTCTGCTAGGACAATATCATTTGAAATGGCTCGTTGCGAAAGACCACG